TCGGGCCATTCGAGATACTAGAAAGAATTGGTCCTGTAGCCTATCGCCTTGCACTACCTCCTGAGCTATCTAATATCCACAACGTGTTTCACGTTTCAATGCTCCGACGATATTTCCGAGACCCAGAACATGTCATCAACTATGAGAACCTGGAGGTTCGAGAAGATCTCACCTACAAAGAACAACCAGTGCAGATTCTCGATCATCGTAATCAAGTTCTCCGAAATAAGACCATACCGTTGGTAAAGGTCTTATGGCAAAATCATCACATTGAAGAAGCAACGTGGGAAACTGAAGCACAAATGCGAGCTAAATACCCGTACCTCTTCGAAGGTTAAGGTACGTCAAGTTTGAGGACAAACTTCTGTTGGAAGGGGAGAATTGTGACACCTCGAACGTTTAGTCAAGTCCATATAAATATTTATATTTATATATAATTATGGTTGCACGTGATAATAGATTATTACATGAATAAATGTATAAATCTAGAATGGCGTTGGGTTATTAATTAGGGATTATTATTTGAGACTAAATATAAAATTTATAATACAAATTAAATTAAAAAAAAAAAGAAAAAAAAAGGGAATAAATAATAATATAAATAATAATAATAATGGGTATGGTAATAAAATAAATAATTAATTTTCTGTTGGTATGTGTTAATGTGTAATTTAATTAAAAATTAATTTACTTATATAATTATATTAAAATATTGGGTCAAATGTAATTATCTTAATTGTTGGGCCAAATGTAATTATCTTAATTGTTATCCTAATTAATTCTTAAGATAGGTATGAATCTCGGGTGAATCAGAAATAATCTGGGGAGCGATTCGAATCGGCCAATCGGTGGACTCATCTCACTATAAATAGTGAGAAGTTGTTCAATCTGTGGAAGTAAGAAACAGAAAAGAAGAAAGGAAAAGAAAGAAAGAAGAAAGAAAGAAAAGAGAGTGGGAGAAGTACGTAAATAAGTTGGGTTATTGGAGTAAGGCTAAGGGTCACTATTAAGAGTTATATTATACCTTGAGTCACCAAAATGTATTTTATTTATGTTTTGACTTACCAAAATCTATTTTATACAAGTTATGTTTTATTAGTATATTTATAAAAGTTATGTTTTATAAAGGTTTCAGTTACGTGGATTATTTTATGAATCCTATTTGCTTAAAAGGAAACCCATGGAAATGTTTGTTTTTATTTTAAAGAATATTTGGCTATAACCTTATGTGAAAATATGTTTTGTGAATACCACCACGGGAGTCCCATGCCTTGGGGGACTTAAATAACCATTGGCTTAGTGATTGACCACTTTGTGGCCCAGTGTTTGTCATGGATCCATTGACCAGTGTAGTGCTAGTCACTTAGTGATGTACCGTGGTTATAGTGATTATTTCAGTTTCTGGCACTTAATTAAATTATGTATTCAATTCAACTCAATTTATAATGTTTTTAGCTTAAATAAATATCCATGGCTATTTTGTGCCCTCATAGTATAATATTTCTCACTCTGCTATGTGCTTATAGTTGTTACCCCTTTCAGGTGACGAGATTTAGCGGGATCAAGATGGAAAATGAATCGCTATGTTATTTTGTTTTTTTTTAGATTTCTGTCTTCTATTATTAAACTCTTGTAATACTATGAAACTCCAATGACTATGCTTATTACCTTTAAAATGAACAGTTGATACCCAGTTACTTATTCTAATTTATTTAAATTATCCGTTTGCGTTGTAAAATTTTCCAAATTTCCTTATTTTATTTCATTTATCTTGTTACGACATTAAACCCCTGGGGTACCGGGTTTGGGTCGTGACACATGCGGCCTAAGCCCTCGCACGTGCGGTCTTGCCTTCTACCTAAGAGTTTCACTAGCTGAACTTGAGACACCCCTGATCTAATTTCACGCCTTTCGAAACAAGCAAAACTTAACTCTAGAATAAAATAAAGACGAGAATATGAAGAAGGTTTCAAGAACGATGAACCCAAATAGTCAACATGACCTCAAGTTAATCCCCGACACTTCTAACATGAGTAAGCTAATCACAATTAAAAGAAAAACGAGACAGGTTACATACTCGGTCATCACAACTAAAAAAGACATCAATAATTTTGGGACATTCCATTTCATAATAAAGCCTGCACACCCACTATATCATGAGTTAGGGTTTCTGAGAGCACCCACCTTTATCCACCCATCCATCTTTCCCAAATCTCACTTTCAAAACCTACTCACCCTCCAAACCTTAAAAATCCTTTGGCGACAATATTTCGACAGTAACGATGGCAATCATTTAATTACATACACTTCTCTAGCAATGACTATGATTAAAAGTTTTTCTAACAACCACAACTCCATAAGACAAGAGGAATATAACAATAAAATCTTAAAGGAGGTTCATAGCTTTGATGGGATTCTTAACTTAGAGGAGATTAACCTTATAAGAGTAAGTTTATTGAAAAAAATGGTAAAAATAATAAAAACTGTTTGTTATTTTTTCGGGACTGAACTCCCCGAACATATGACTGAAATTCAGAAACACAAGCCCGAACATTGTTTATTTGTTTGGGAATAGGTAACTGAACATTTGTTTTCTCAGGACATGAATATGTGGAAATGAAGTAGTAATCACCTTCGTGGGTTTTGTTAGGGTTGTTAAGAGAGAAGCTTTTTAGGGTGTGGGGGTGTGTATTCAATTGAATGAATGAAATGTTTTCATAGGATAATTTTGGTATTATTTGGGGGGAGAAAAGAAATTTTAAGGATTTTAGAATTTATAAGTGATGGTCCAAAGAAATGGAGGGTCCAAAATAATTGATGGAATGCTAATAGCACCAGTCTTAAATAAACAATAATGACATATTCTTTCATTTTAAAACTTATTTTGCTTTAGTTTCTATTAATTAAATGTCTAAGAGATACTACCATATTATGAAACATAATACTGTTTTTTTATAATTTATAAATTCAATAATTTGAGAAAATTACATTGAGACTTTATGCCTCAATGAACCAACAACATTTTTGCTTATATTATATTATATTATATATATATATACATATAATTTAATGCAAATAAATAAGTAAGTAGACAAGTAACTCATGTATTGACCATCAAGTAACAATTCTTCAATAACTAAATTTAGAACAATAATGGTATAAAAGTCAATCCAAAATTGATTTTTAGGCCATGTTTAGCATCTAATCTAGTTATAACACTCATAAGCTAATACATTATAACCTACAAAACTATAATATAATTTTAACTAATCATTTATTGATTGGTTACTCATTAATAGATAATTTTTCTTAGCTAGATTCGGGCATAAGATTATAACATGACTCATGGTGTATCTAACTCAACTTCATCTTGGATTTTTTTTTTTCATACATAATTATATCTAAATATTAATTTAATAAATTTGAATATTAATAAATAAAATTTTACCTAAGTTTAAATTTTTTAATAAACATGCATAAATATGTATATATTTGTCATTTTCATTATGAAAAAAATATTAAAGGTATGTGTTTACCAATTTAAAATATATTTACATAAATAAGTAGTCAAGTAGCTCTTCAATTTGTATTGGTTGATTTAATTGTAACATGGCTCATGACAGTTCGATTATCCCATAGAATTTTAAAATTTTATAAATTACTCTTACACTTTAAGGCCAACTTAAATTTATCCTATCAAATCAATTAATTATTTTTCTAAACCGCAACATGGTATATAGTAACTCGAGTAATATTTCTAATACAGTTATTGCAACAAAAATAAAATTTAAATCTTTTACTTCATTTATTTTTTTAGGCCACATCACATTAACCTCTAAAATCCAAACCTACCAAAGCTCACTACTATCACCACAACAATCAAAATTACATATAAAAATTTAAGTTTTTCAATAAAAAAATAAAAAATAAAGAAAAATAGAGAACATATAGAAGACAGGGCTAGAGATAAAAAAAAGAAGAAAGTATTTTATTTAATTTAACAAACTTTGATATGACAAATTATAATTATGAAAATTTTATAGATAAAATGTAATTATGCTAAACAGAAAGCAGTTTTTGTAATATATGCAAATTTATTTACTTTTAATTTTACCAATTGAATATACATGTATTTTTTTATAGAATAAAATACTAATAGAAAGCTTATAATGGCTGAAACTTACTTTTTTTGAGTCGACTGAGACTTACTTAATAATATCCATTTATAGTTTTTTCAAATTATTTTAAATTAATTTTAAAATTAAATTTTGAATCATTGACTAAAATTATGCATAGCACAGGTTTTACGCTAATATAATTATAGGTAAAACTCTTAAATTATTTCACTATTAATATCTTCTCAAGAATATTTATTCCTTAAATTAAGCATTGAAAAAATAATTTAGAAACTTACCAAACTTAGAACCTATTATGGAAAATTCTATGCTAATGCTTAGGTCATTAATTCTTACTGCATTGGAATTTTAATTTTAATTTTAATTTTTTTAAGTTACTTAAATTAAGAAAGAATATTTTACATAAGAGAACTAAAGGAGCTCATGAGACACACCATGAGACCTGTTTTTATAGTTCGAATAGATCATTTTGTAAAATTATCCATATATATCATTCATAAAAAAAAAAAATTATATCGATTCAATAAAATAAATAAATAAAAGTTACGATTATCGAATTGACCTAATTTTTTCATAATATATACTAAAGATTTTACAAAATAAACAATTTGAATAATTAAAATGGAAAACCCGAAAGACTCCTTGAGGCATAGTTTGGGAAGTTGGTTTTGGTGGGTTAGGGGCTAAAATAGCCACAAAAAATAAAATAGGCTATTTTAGCCACAAAAAACAAAACATCAAATCCAATCCATAATCATTACATTTCTCTCTCATAAAAAAAGTCAAAAAAGTCAAAAAATCCTTCCCAAACTAGACTTTTTAGTCTCAGGCTAAAATAGCCAAAAAATTAAAAAACCAACCCACTTCCCAAACGGAGGCTGAGCCCCTCAAGTTCTGAAATTCAAATTTATAACACTAGTTTCTGCCTGAAGACACATGCACCAAAAGGCCAACTACAGATAAAAATGGATTTAAAAAATGCTGCAATTACTTATTAGCTTCCCACCCATAATTATGAATATTTCAGACATTTACAGCTGCAATTCAAATATGTATCAAGTACTTAGCCAATGTATCTTAGCTTAACTAATTTTTTTAAACAGGAACATCCAATGGGTAGTCTTGTGGATGTCTCTTAATGGCTTCCCTGATTGACATCTCTTGCTCAAGAAGGTTTGAAGGTAGAGTGTCATACACATCAGTGAACATTTCAGTAAGTGAAGGCTTCTCTGTTCTTTCTGCAACTTGTATTGCTTGCATTACCTGCAGAGCAAAGAGCAAAGCATTGCTAAGTTAGAGAATTTCAAGCGAAAAATTGACCTAACAGCAAGACACGTGAACAAAATATTTATGCTGTGTTTGGTTGGAAGATTTGGAAATGGATTTGAAAAGGGAAATGAAAAAGGTAGGTGAAATGTGAATAAAATATGTATATATTTCACATAGTTTCACACACTTTTTCTCTTTCCCATCTTTTCTCTTTCCCTTTCCAAATCCCTTCCCAAATTCCCCAACCAAACACACCATTAGAGTAAATTATATCTCAAACGCAAAATATTGAATTTTTTTTTTATTATGGAGGTTTTTGTTAGGTGGTACAGTTGTTGGACCTTGATTGTTCGGATATAATTATCTTTGTATTTCTAAATATTTTCCTACCGGTTGAGGCCAAAAAACACATGTGGCCATTGTATCATTTGTATTAACTTTGGGTTTTGTGGGTTGATTGTTAGGTATTCAACTATTTTGTTTTTGTAGTCAAGTATTTCTTAGCTTTTTTTTTATTTTTTATTTTTATCTTAAGGTAAATTATACTTTGCATCTCTATCTCTACATTTTATAGTAAATTTTACTTTAATTTTCATACATAAAATCATGACAGTCAATCTCTTGTATTTCTGACCAAATTTTATTTTAATTCCTGCGCATGAAATTGTGATAGTCAATCCCCATTTATTTTGATCTAATTTCTAAACTCAAATTATTAATTGAATTAAATTATCACAATATAAAAAGAAAAAAAAATATTATAATTGATGCAATTAGAACAGTAAAGACTGACTAAATTGATACAAGAGGCAAAAAAATAAAATAAAAACTATGACTACAAATGTAGGTTGCCCAAATATATAATCTAACTACTCAAGTTTAAAATTGAAGTAAAATGGTATCAAAACTTTGTATATTTAGAAAGTTGGTTAAAAATTAATTTTTTGACTTTTTGATTCACATTACTTCTATACTTTTTTTGATGTGTTTTTCTAAAAAAAAACCCCAAAAAAATAAATCAAAAAGCCAACTTTTGAATTTCTGATTAAAAAAAAAAAAAAAAAAAAAAGTAAAAAAAAAAACTTTTAACCTATTTTTTTTTTTAAACTTTGAACCTTTTTGAAATTTTTATTAAAAAAAAAAAAAAAAAAAAAAGTCAAAAAAACAACTTTTAACCTATTTTTTTTGTTCAACTTTGAACCTAAATTGTTGAATTAGCAGCTCAAGATAATTGTAGAGAAATTCACGATGCAAGAAGAAGAGATATGTACCTGATGGCGGACTTTGGTTCGGAGTTCGGATTCATCAGTCTCGGACCACCACCCGTTTCTTTCGACCCATTTTCGAAAGCGGGTTACAGGGCTCTTTGCATTTCTCCAGTATTCGATTTCTTCAACGGGTCGGTACTTGGTGGAATCATCAGATGTGGAATGGTGTCCTACTCTATAAGTCAGAGCCTATTAACAATCAAACCAGCCATCATATATATAGGGAAATATATTATCACAATTTCATGAATTCACAATATTTTTGTGTTTTCAAAATAAAAAATGAAAAATTGTTTTCATTTTGGTATGAAAACAAATTTAAAAATATTTTTTTGGTATTTTACTAAAGGATTTCAGTCGGATCAATATTGCACTAGTATAGTCTGGAGTCATGTGATCATTACGGATTTCACGTCAATGATTTAATCTTAAAATAGGTTTTTGTGAAGAAAAAAATCAGTTAAACAAAAAATATGATTTTACAAGCTGACTGTTCATTTTTTTTTTTTTTGAAAAACAAATATGATAAAATTATGCAATTAAGATTATCAAATCAATCTCATTTTATTCATAAATGATTGGGCAGGTTACACCAGTAATTTTTACATTTTGTCACTTGTATCATTTTAGTCCATACAATTTTAATTGGCTTAATTTTGATTTTTAATTTTAGATTTTACATCAATTTGATCCAATTGATAATGCTGTTAAGGTTTTTGACAAAAAATTCATCAGATTAAATGTATCAATGGTAAGTATAATTTTTAAAATTAATTATTGATAATGTGATCTGATCAAGTAATTGTTGATATCCGATTAATGTGATTTTTTACAAAAATAAAGTACTCGATAAACCCTATATATTGAATGATTCGGATTATCAATGTGGGTTCCGTGGTGGGGCTACGGAGTCTCAAGAGCACCCAAGTAGAGAGAATCCTCTCCCTAGTTTAAATCACCTGAACGTACCTCAATTAAAATGGGTCTTTGTTCAGTAATGGCCATGTGACGAGCTTCGCGGACTGCCTCATAAACAGCCAGAGCATCATTTCCATCAACTTGAGTACTTCGGATTCCATAAGCTTGACCCTTCACAGCTATCCCATCACCTAACAATTTGAAAAACAACAACAACAAAAGCAAAAACATTAATAAGTAATAACAAGAAGTGTCAAGAATGTCTTCTTGGACCACATTTGGTACTCATTTTCAAACGGGTAGACCTGTCAACACATCAGATTTAACCCAAACTCAATTCAAAATATTCGAATCTTTTTAACAAAATCTTATTAGATTACTTGATCACATCTGAATTTAAACGGAGTGGATTTAGATAAATTTTATTCGATCCAATTATATATCGGATCCAAAAACTAATATTATGTGTAATAAAAATCTAATATGCTTTTGCATGTTCTATACACTGATGATCCAAAAGGGTCTGAATACTAGTTGTGTTTTTTTTTTGGGTACACCAAACCAAAACTTTACCACTAAGGAGGAAAGGAGGTAACATCAGAAACTAGCAAAGAAACAAGCATAGCAGGAGGAGAGATAACCCAATTAGAGGGTAAGGATCTGGCCGTTAGAGCTTTTGCAACCCAGTGGGCTGCCATGTTATTGTGTCTGCTCGTCTAAGAAAAGGAGAGGTGATGCTGTGCTGCAAATTCACGAATATCCAAAAGCACTGCACTACTTTCCCAAGGAGGAACGGTCTCAGAAACGCAAAGATTAATAGCCATCTGACTATCACTCTCAATCTCAACATATGAAATACTGTAAGAGTGTGCCACAACACAAGCTATACGAACTGCCTTGGCTTCCGCTGATACTACTGAAGAAGCATCAATTGCCCTTGCTATTCCATCAACCAAGTGCCCATGTGAGTCCCTCATAACTGCTGCTATGGAAGCAGAGGAGTGCTGGTTGCAAAAAGAGGCATCACAATTGATCTTGAGTTTTCCAAGAGGAGCTGGTCGCCAACCTGAGACTGTGTTCTGCTGCAACATTGTAGGGAGCTGACCAGGTCCATGATTACTACTCAAGAAATTGCTGTGCTTATTCCAGAAAAAGGAAAAACGATGTAGAGTAGCTAATGGATCCACAGGTTGTTTATTGAATGCAAATTCATTCCTTGATTTCCAAATGTACCACCCGATTGTAGCCACCTTGCTCAGGAGAGTTTTTGCTTCAGATTTGGAAAGGCCTAGTCCCATCTGATTACTGGTCCATATTGCAACGTTAGGGATGGCACCCTTTTCCACTCTCAGTTCAGATTACTACCATACCACACAGCTCTTGTCCAGGAACAATTAAACAGTAAGTGTTCCACTGTTTCTTCCTCCATCTGACAGATTGGGCATACACCCGATGGAGCACATTTACGCTTGAAAAGTTCCGTCTTTGTTGCTAATAAATTCTTGCAGGCTCTCCACCAAAAATGCCTAACTTTCGCATAAATTCTTGCAGGCTCTCCACCAAAAATGCCTAACTTTTGCGGGGGGTGGGTGGCTCCAAAGCCCAAGTACCATTCCAAAAATCGTTACTCAGAGTTTTAAAAGTTGATGGTTTGCTTACCTGAGTTCCACCACTAAGCTTCCGAGCCAAAGAATATCCCGACTTGACTGCGTATTGGCCTGAATTGCTAAAATGCCATACCAACACATCATCCCTTTCTCTCATCCCAATTGGTATAATTTTAAAAGCCTTAATCTCTTCTTGCAAAAGCCACCTTCTTAGTGAGACCACATTCCAGGATTTATGGACTGGATCAAAAGCATCGGCCACCCGTTGGAGATGACAGTCTCTAGGTTGGGAGGAGGTCAATATAAAACCCTTGAATGAAGGGATCCATTTGTCAATCCAAACTTGAACCAGCTGACCATTGTAAATTTGCCATTGGAGCCCCTCCTGTAGTAGCTCTCTACCCTTAAGAAGGCTAGTTCAAGCCCACGAGGCCCTTGAACCCTTACTAGCTTGCAAAAAATTGGAGTTGGGGTAGTAAAGCCCTTTATACAATTTTGCCCAAAAGGAATTTGGATTCATGAGAAGACGCCAACTCTGCTTTGCAAGTAGAGCTTGATTGAAATCGGAAAAATCCCTAAAGCCCATGCCTCGTTGACCTTTGGGGGCAGTCAAAGAGTCCAAATTAGCCCAATGAATTCCTTGGTTCTCTGGATCACCCTTCCACCAGAAGTTCCGAACAAAGGAATTGAGTTTAGTACAAAAACCCTGGGGGAGTTTGAAGCAGGACATGGCATAAGACCGAATGGCTTGAACAACTGATTTGATGAGAGTTTCTTTTCCAGCTTGTGATAGAAGCTTGGACTTCCAACATTGCATTTTAGCTAGAGCTCTCTCGAAATTGGTGTAACTATGTCATAATGCAAAAATAAAGATAAAAAATAAAAATGTGCATCAGGCTTATGGATCCAACATCCAAATAAGGCAGTTTCCGATGGATGTCTAGTCATATTGGATTAGATTTTTGTGAATTTGGTCAAAATCCGATCTGTTGACCTGCCTAATTAGAGATATCCCCTTATTCCTTACGCATGCTTGCAAACAATGAAATTATATGAATGGGATGCCAACTTTGATTCCAACCCTTAATTTAAAGGAGATTGCAAAAACCAAAATTAATTGGGTGATAGAAAAGTACTTCGAAATTGTTCTGAAGAAGGCGTACTGATAGCCCACCCATTGTTGCGGCATATAAAAACAACAGGGGCTTCCATAACCGCTGCAAAATTTAAAGCTGCATGAAAGTCTCCCTGAAATTACGACACAAACAACAAAAATTCTTAGCATTTTGGAAAGTAGTTTTGCTTTTGAAAGCAAAAAAAAAAAACATAAACAAAAACAGAAAATGTCTTGTTTACCTCACTGGTGCCACCATCCCCACAAAAAGTGACAGCACAAGCATTATTGTTTTCCATTTTGAGAGAATAAGCTACACCCACTGCTTGAGGAAGCTGTGTGCTGGCAAACATGGAAAGACATTGAAGATTTTATTTAGTTTTGATTAATCAATTTGAATGAATATTGACAGATACTGATGACTTTTTTAGCTGTTGTCAAACAAAATATAAAGCAGTAGATGAAAAATAAATTTTGATATATTGTCTTACGCAATTGGTGCCGACATGGTGAAGCAATTGAGCTTGTTGGACCCATAGTGTATGTGCATTTGTCGCCCTTTCCCATAATCAGCCTTGTTTGTGAATAATTGGTCGGCAAATTCTTGCATTGTGAAACCACGCCATAGTAGAACTCCAGGCTCCCGATACTGCATTGCGTCACAAATATCAAATTGTGACATTCACCTAATGATCTAAAATTTTTTCTTTTTTTTTTGAGAGGGGGGGGGTCAAAGCCTTCCACGGCCCTAATTGATATGTCTAAATGGATAAAATAAAAACCAATATTTTGAGGTATACAAGACAGTTCCTATAAAGAATTTGACTAGACTTTAAACTGAAACATGTCCTTTAGTTCAAGAAGGAGGATACTACATTGCTCTAGATAAGGATAGATGCGTAAGGTATAGGAATTGGGAAGAGAAGATCAAAGCCTTCCACGGCCTAATTGATATGTCTAAAATGGATAAAATAAAAACCAATATTTTGAGGTATCCAAGACAGTTCCTATAAAGAATTTGACTAGACTTTAAACTGAAACATGTCCTTTAGTTCAAGGAGGATACTACATTGCTCTAGATAAGGATAGATGCGTAAGGTATAGGAATCGGGAAGAGAAGATCAAAGCCTTCCACGCCTTCTTATATGAAACTTGAATGCTCATGGAAAACTTATATTTTGACGTCCTTCTCTACCACCAAATAAATATAAGGTCCATCTAAAATCATCACATGGAGCTAAACATGATGAGGAGGTTGAAATGAATAGAAGAAACATGGAGAGGCAAGAAAGTCCCATACCAAGCCCATGTATGTAATGAAATATAAGAATATCAACTTCAAAATTGTATTACATGGGCTTAGGTATTAGTATCAAGTTCAGATCTTCACAAATTAATGATTACCTTGCCTCAGGTAATCACTTTTCCCTTTTCCTTTCCAAATCCCTCTCCAAATTCTCCAACTAAGCACAGCGTAAGTGCCAAATTTTCACAAACAATAAGTCTTGAGATATTGAGATATATATTCAAAAGTATGTATCGAATAAGTGATTACCTGAGGCAAGATAATATCATCTAGAGTGAGTGCAGCTGCCGGAGCAATGTTGACAGCCTCTTCTCCGGTGGCAGTGGCGTAGAAGCAAATTCTACCTTGCCTCTGTGCTTCATAAAATATGGTGTCCATGGTTTGAAGTGCTACCATGTCACTATACATCTTCACTGCAAGTTCCTTGCTCACCTAACAAATTTCATTGCCAAATGATTAACCAACTAGCTACTTGAGAAGTTGGAGGGTTTCTTTGAACAATATGTATACTTCAAAAAATTACTTGCACAAAATAGAGAAATTCAAATACCTGTGGAAAATTGTTGCTTGTAATTGGATAGCCATCGTCATCGAGAACACGATAACAATGTACCTTCTTTTCTGGAACCTCAGAAATGAATGAGAGATCGGAAGTAAATGCTACATTTCCACCGAGAAAATCCAAGGCCTGCCCGGACAAAATAATCAAAAAAATTGAAGAAAATATGTAATCATAAACTGCAAAGACAACGTAAAATTTTCAGTTATGATGTGTGACAGATTTCATAAAATTTCACATCCAAATATGATTGTGTAATATTTCACATTTTGTAACATTTTGCCAATCATGTGATTGAGGAATGGTCGCTAATTTATTTATCAAAATTTGATAAATTGATCTTTGATTTGTTTATGAGTTAATCAATTAAGACTCAATCCCCTACCAAATTAATGTGAATAAATTTAAGAATAATGTGTATTCAATATAACTAATTTCTCCGGTCCTCTTTTAATTTTAATTTAGGGCTTTTTATAAAACATCAATTGAGGGCATATTGCCAATTGTCCCTTGATCTTGTTGAAATGAATAAGTAGTAATGCTGAGAATTTAAAAGTTCTACTAAAATTGCTACCAAATGTCTCACATGAGTGTGAGACTCTCCCACACCTATGTAACACATTTAATAAATTTTAATAAAATTTTTAAGATCTCTTAACATTTTTAATAAATAAAGAGTAATGCTAGAGGACCCAAATATTCTACCAAAAGTTTTACCAAATGTCTCACATGGGTGTGGGACCCACACAATGTGGTGGGTCCCATGTGGGTCCCATGTGAGACATTTGGCATGTGAGACATTTGGTAAAATTTTTGATAAAATTTTTGGGGCCTCTGGCATTTTTGATAAATAAATTATCTAAACCTTGTCTTTTTGTAAATTATGAGCGCAACCTGATTTTTTAAGTGGCTCGCGCAACACAAACCTCTTGGGACAGCAATTAAAATAGACACCATTGCAGACGATTTAGAGGATCCTGACTCGTTCCCCATTACCTAATGACGTGATTTCAGTGTCTAAACTTGAGCTGGGCCCACAATAGATTCACATTAACTTGCATTTTTTAATGGCTCATAGATTAATTTAAGACCATTTAAATAAGAGACTTATGTGTAGGTCTAAGTAGACTTATTGTTTAATAAATTTTATGAAAATTAATGATATTTTTTATTAAATATTATTAAAAAATTTCACTAATTATTAATTTTCAGCAATAATTTAAAAATTATCACAAAAAATATCATTAATTATAAGTTTTAATGATAGTTTAAAAAAATCGTCACAAAAAAACATTACTAATTTTTTACTTTCAGCAACAGTTTAAAAAATTCGTCATAAAAAATCACTAATTATAAATTTTAATGACAATTTATATAAAAATCGTGATAAAAAGTCACTAATTATCAATTTTTAGCAACATTTGTAAAAAATTATTATAAAAAATTATTTTTAGAGACAAATGTTATTAAGATTTATTTTCAATGAGACTTGATAGGAATTAAGTTTAACCATTAGGACCTATGAATAAATAATATAAATTCTTATTTTGAGATTTAAAATATATATTTTTAAATTTTTTTTTTTTTAAAGTTTTGATTTTGACATACAAAAACTAAGAGAGGACAGGGTCCTGTCGAGGACTCATGAATCTTATTTCAACAAATTGAATAGTTTATTTTATAGAGTCCCTATATGTAAGTCATCTATAAAAATAAAAAAAAAAAAAATTAAATTGATTCGTTATTCAAAGGTGTATAGTTGTTATGATTGTCTCTAAAAAAATAAATAAAAGATATAACTTTTAAAATATTCAATTTATTTTTTAAATCAAATATAATAAAATTATAATTATAAATATCAAATTAATTTAATATTTTTTATAAATAATTTACACAAAATTATAAAATAAACAATTAAAATATAAGTAAAACTGTGGTTAAACCCACGAATGTCACCAGTACCCGTGGCGTCTTGAGAGAATCTTCTCTGAAAAATAAACACTAAGGCCTCGTTTGAGAACTCTCATTTTTAATCAAAAAGTCAAAAAATTATTAAATTAGTCAAAAAGCCAACAACCCATACCAAAAAGTCAAAGATTCTATTTTCTCTCTACTTTTTGTACATCTGTGGTTAAACCCACGAATGTCACCAGTACCCGTGGCGTCTTGAGAGAATCTTCTCTGAAAAATAAACACTAAGGCCTCGTTTGAGGACTCTCATTTTTAATCAAAAAGTCAAAAAATTACTAAATTAGTCAAAAAGCCAACAATTCATACCAAAAAGTCAAACATTCTTTTTTCTCTCTACTTTTTGCACATCTTTTCATAAAAAGTCAAAAAGTCATCCTAAACATATTAGTTTTTTCTAGCTCATATTTTAGCCAAATAGCCAAAAAGTTACTAAATTAGCATGTTCCCAAACGAGGCCTGATACTGTGTTTGGTTAGGAGATTTGTAGAAGGATTTGAAAAGGAAAATAGAAAAGAAAAATAAAATGTGAATAAAATATACTTACATTTTACCTAATTTCACATATTTTTTTCCTTTCATTTTCCAAATCCCTTCCTAAATATCCCAACCAAAAATAGCATAAAAGTAATAGCGGTGCTCAATTTTTTTTCTTTTTAAAATTTCTCTAAAAATAAATATTAATTAAAATATAGTTTTTTTTTTTTTTTTTTTTTGTTTTTTGTTTTGGCAAAAAAAAAAAAAAAACATTTATATCAAATGCAAATAAGTATTGCTATAGGAACCAACAAATCTTATAAGTTTTTCTTACTTATATCTATCATATGGAAGTGAGTCATGTTTTAATTTTAAAAACTATATACAATTTGGGTATATACAGAACAATATAGTTGTGTTGAGACCTATCATTTTGAAACAAAAAATAACCATTAAATAATAGTTAATTACAAAAATGTCACCACAACATAATTAAGATAAATTGTGTAAAAAAAATATCCATAAGAGTAAGGTTTCTCTCGAATTGCCAATTGGAAGTGTTGTTGGCCCCCATGAGCCCGCCACAAGACCCAATTCGATTCTCCAAGCCATTCATATTATAAAATCTATTGAACAAGAGTTGATCTGGACAGGTATGAGAATGGAGAAGTTTAGAGAGAGAGAGAGATGAATTTTGATTTGGTAAGGTCAAATTTCTCTGTGATATGTTTAGGGACCTTAGACATTAAAAAATAATTTTGTGAATCTCTTCCATTATGAAAAGTGGGAGAGGGACCCTAGACCAATTTTCCCCTTTAACATCACTCATATATAATAAATACACAAAATTTATATACCGAATAATATAATTAGATTAGAGCTTGTCATTTGGGAGATCGTATCTACACTGACGAAATTTCTTATTACACACCTTTTATGCATTATGACATTTGTACTCCATGAAAAAATGTTTGTACATAAGAGTGTAAAAAGATATTTGGGTGGTGTAATTAGAAACTCTCTTATAATTTTAAAACAAACAATAGTTAATCACAAAAATACCAACTTCAACATCAATCTTATAGAATTATGTATAGAAATTGAAATTCTGTAAAAAATAATATCGATAAACGATTGAAAGAGGATCCTTAACAGGGCCTAAGTTCCCTAAATGCAGATCCATTGCTTATATCAAACCAAAGAAAGTATCAGCGGCAAGAAACAGAACATGAAGTACCTGATTCTGGTCTTGACGATCAACTACTTGTTTGGCAGCATTTACTGATTTGATACGCCGAATCACGAATTGGGCAGCTGAGCCATGACTCAAAAATGGTGGTGAAGTACTTGTTCTACAAGTCTTGCCAGTTGTATAATTTGCTGCAGATAATGGATTAGAGTATGAGGAAGAACTCAGACATCTCTGGTTTAGGATCTCCATGAACCTAATCTTTGTCTTTAGATGATATGCAATGTTTCTTGACCTTGTAATCCACATAGCCATGGTAAGTTGGAGAGAGAGAAAGAGAGCACTGAAACTTATGTCTCTCACTTATAAAGAAGAAGAAGAAGAAGAAGAAGAAGAAGAAGAAGAAATAGGTAGCTAATGGATATTGTAATGCAAGTGTTGCATTTTTTCTTGAGAAAGAAAAGGTTATGATCTCCAAGCTTTTATTATGGGGGAAAATTGCAATCAGACCCGGCACTGAGATTTCTGGGGCTCAAAGTTAATAATCAACTAATAAATTTTTGGGGTCTTTCATATTTTTTTTCATTGAATGAAAAAAAATGGAAAAAAAAATGAAGTTAAAAGATAAAAAATTTGTGTTAAAATCACAAAAAATATACATTACAACAATTAATAAATGTCGCTTGATTCTCACTCTTCTTGCATTTTTAGAAACAAATAAATAAATCATACTTGTATAATCTAGTCTTTTTGTAAAATCATTTTCAATGGATAACAATGCTAATTATTTTAAATGGGTATTTTAATTTTTTAATGAGTCAATTTATTTTAAGTTAGCTTGGCTCTTCTTTAATTTTTTTTTTTTAGATTTAAAATATACCTAATATATTACAACAAACTATAATAGAAGAATCCTTTTTTGGGTTTATTTTCAATGGATAACATTGTTAATTTTTTTGAATGGGTTTTTCAATTTTTTAATGGGTCAATTTATTTTAAGTTAGTTTGGGCCTTCTTTAATTTTTTTTAAACTTAAAATATACCTAATATATTACACTAAATCATAATAGAAGAGGCCTTTTTTTTGGATCTATTTTGAGGGTTTCTAGGTCATGGCCTTGTTGGCCCATGCCAGGGCTGGCACTGATTGCAATTAAGTACAAAACCATGAAAAATTATAGGGACTCTAAATGTTTTATTGATATTTTTACCAAAGGTTTCGCATAAATATGGAACTCATACCATGTAAGTCTCATATAAGTCACATACCTATGTGAGACATTTGATAAAAATATTAATAAAACATTAGAATCTCTAATATTACTCTAAAATCAAAGAAGTGAAAGTCATGTACAAATGACAACTATGTTTACAGGACTTCGATTTTCTGCAATAATTTTGACGGAAACACCCTTCAACCACATGTCACTCTTCAAAGCATCGCAAAAATTATTGTACCAAGAATTATTACCAAAAATCACAATTCTTGTTTGAAATCCTTATAACAGTCTCACTTGCACCTTCATGATTTTGCAATTGTTTATACTATTTTTAATTGATTTGCAATCCTCTTTTATTTTATTTTGTTGGTTTATTTATTTATTTGTTTCTGTGGGGACAAAGGTCTCACAAAGTTTGTAAAATAAACTTTTTGGTATCTCTAACCATGCTTTGACTGAATTTGCCCATCCAGCATGGCATTTTGGAGATGGCCGTGAAGGATTCCTATGATATATTATAATGGCTACTTTAGTAATTGAACCTTGATGCGGCTGTTCATGAAGTGGATTTAGATTTAGTTGAGTTAATAAAAATAAGAAAAAAATAAATAAATAGATATTTCTTAAAAATTGTATTTTTGTTGGAAATAAAATTAGTTATTCATACTCATTTTCAATATAAAAGATGTGTATGAATAAATGATATTATTCAAGGTCAAAATATAACCTTAAGCTGTAATCAGATTTTAAATTTGTAGAAGAAAAAATAAATAAATTATATTTATATATATATTCTCATTTTTTCATCATCTACAATTTCAATATCTACACATATCATTTAAATCTCAACTATATATATTTCAAACACTGAAGTAAGTTATGGGTAATTTTCATATCATGGGGGATAGTGGTCTAAGTTTTTGGCAAGTTTAGCACCAAAATTTTTTTATTTTTAAATTTCTGTCTACCTTTCCTCTAATGAACATTCATAATCATTTAATTATTTTTAAAAATTAAACTGAAAAGTTATGTGCACAAAATTCATACATTAAAACATAACAAAAAAATAAATAAAATGTAGCTATATCTCAAATAAATTTGAACCACATTAAAATTTTTAAATATTTTCATGTGCACGAATTCTGTGTTAGAATTACTCAAAATTAGAAGGAAAATAACTGGTAGCTCGAAATTTGTGACTCGATTTTGGCTCGAATGGCAAAACGACGTCGTTTTGCCATTCGAGCCAAAATCGAGTCACTTTTTTTTTTCTTTCTCTTCGTTTTCTTTATTTCTTTTCTTTATTTCTTTTCTTCTTCTTCTTCGTTGAACACAGGCGAGAGAGAGAGCAGAGCAGAGGCGAGAGAGAAACAGAGCTCATCGGACACAGCTCGTTGGCGTCGTTGAACACAGCTCGTCGGTGTCGCAGCTCGTCGCTCAGCCCTGCCTCCGCCTCCACCTCCGATTTTGATGGCCCCCTCCAGTCCAGTTCTTCTTCTCCTTCTTCTCTTCTTCTTCTTTCTTCTTCTCTTCTTCCTCTTCTCCGAATTCGGGCCAAATTCGAGCCTCCGAATTCGAGCTACGAATCAGAGCTCAAATTAGAAATGTATAAAAACAAAAACAAAAACAAATTAAAAATTAATTAGCCATGCCTTTCACGAGGCTCTCCTGTTGTTTGTGGGGAGTGAAACGAAACGAAGAGCCACACTAAACCACCGATTAGTTTTGGAAAACAAAGGCACATGGACCGCGTGGCTTACGTCTGTTTTCGACAAGGACAATGCAACAGGAAAAAGTATCAAGGACCTGTTTGGTACAGGGTTTTCTTTTATGATTTATTTACAGTAAGTTGAACTTTTTTTTTTCAGATAGATAGTAATAGTAAGTTGTTTCATAATTATAAGTTGTTTTGAAAAATTAGTTAAAAGTTATTTTTTTAAAAAAAAAATGTATGAAAAAATAGAAGGATGATATGATTCAAAATAAATTAAAAGTCAAATTTGACTTTTAACCAAATTCTCAAATTGGCCCAAAAACAGGACGTACAAGTTACAACTACATCTCTTGCTTTTTAATAATAATAATTAATTTTTCACTTTATTTAAGTTATATTTGCCTCATAAATTGTGAAGAAACATTACACCAAATAATCTAACATATATATATATATATATAAGCAACTATACAGGTTATATCAAATAATCTCTAAATGACACACAACATACGGGCTGTTTGTTGTAACTTAAAGAAGCTGATTATAACTTATTTTAATTTGGAAGTCTATATCAAATTGTTGATGCAGTTTCTACTTGCAGTTTATTAAGTAGAAATAGCTTATATAAATTTAAAAAAATTGATTATTTGTAAACTGGGAGAGTGGTGTTTTAGCTTCTATTTTATGATTATAAATTTTTAACTTACAATAAGTTACACCTACCAGACCCATAATGATTCCTATAACACAACAATAGTACCATCCACAATGAATCTGTTAAAAATGTGTGTTAAAGTGAGTTATATGATAAAAAGTGATAAAAATATAATCCAAAAATGTGTGTTAATAGTTTGTTAATTTAGTGAATGAATGGTGATACACTGAATATGTTAAAATGTATGTTAAGCTGTGGGTTAAAAATATATATATAAATGTGGACTCACCCTTCTACCAACCCTCCTTCCCCCTCTCTCCACTGCCAACGGCTATAAAAGTTGGTTGTGTTTGAAAAATATTCTTATATTCAAGTGGGTTCTACAATGGCTGGCTACATTATTGGCTGCAGTTAACAAGCACTTTAACATCTGACAAAAAATGGATGCACTAATGAACAACTTCTTGTTAACATCTGACAAAAAATGGATGCACTAATAAATAACTTGTTGGACAATCTTCGCTGTATTCAAATAGTTTAAATTTTGTTGTGTACTAAACAACAATTAGAATATAAAGAAATAAAAGAAAATGAGAGAATTTATTTGATTACAAAAATCAAACTAGAAATAAAAATAAATAAATAAAAACAGATTTTATTTTGTTACAAAAACAAAATTAACAAAAATAAAATCTGATTTAAATAAATAATAAAACAGAATAATAAATTAAACAACTTACTTGATTAATTTCTTTGAATAATTATCTGATTAAGTCCAGTGTTTGACACTGTGTCCTTAAGACAGATTCGTCTTCTCCACGATACTTTCAGAATTTGGACGTCTATCTCCCAGGATAAAATGATCTACTACAAACAATAGCAGCACTACAAATTGTTTGCCTAACGAACACACTAAGTGTTTATACTTTCTCACAGAAGAAAATAATACAGCAATATGAAAAGAATATTTGTAGACTTACGAAGGACGAAATTAGAGTTACAAAATCCAAATGAGAGCTGTCTTATTTATAGATGCAATGGTGGCTGTAGGTTTTGAATTGAACAGATATGAAACTTGTTGTTTTGAATTCAAACGGATTTGAATCTGTTGGGTTCATCATTTAAACAGATACAAAAAGGGGAAGATCCCTGTTTGGATGTAGGTTAAAAACCAGACTAGTTTATTTCGGGAAGTGCCCTGTTTGGATGTACAGTAAAACCAAACTAGTTTATTTCCGGTTTAATTTGAATTCTGGATTTTATTTTATACAAAATAAAATTAAATTCAAATGTTTTTGGCTCAAAAAGATTAGTATTGGGCCGAACAAGCCCAACCTCACACCACGCATCCGCGCCCAAGCCCAGCCCGCCCGAACGGCGGCGGCGCGCGGTGATTTTTGGGTCCAATGGGTCTAGCCCATAATCTCTCCCTCTAAAACACTTGGGGTACCCCTTGGGACACACCCCAAGTACCAAACTCAAGCCTTATAAACCCATTCAAAACTTTCCACCAAATCAATGTGAGACAAGTCATTTTGCAACCTTAATGAATTTCCACCAAAACTCCATTTCCATGGAGCACACTTTGGCTTCAATTTCCCATTCACTCGGTAATGGTTTTGAGCAACCAAATATACCACGTGAATCACAACGTGGCATAGAACGTGTTACCACTTTGACCCGCAAAAATCAACGCTTGGGGCCCACCTAAAAAATAGACCAAACTTTCAAAAAAAATTCTGATTTTATCCAGAATTTTATAACTATTCCCAACACAACTTAGCAGCTCCATTGTATGAATAAAATGGAGCTTGGCTAGCCAAAAGTTTAACATGTGACATTAGTGGAGAGTTAGCAGCTCCACTGTGGATGCTCTAACAACCACATTTTTCTATCATATTTTATTTATTATTTTGTGTGTCATTAACAAGTATAAGTGATGGGACTCATTAAATCAATGAAATGATAATACACGAAAGGATAAAGGAAAGGAAAATTCTCTGGTGTGCAATACACACCTTATGCAACCCTACCACAAAATTATGTAAGTTTTCATAAATTTATATAAGTGATCTCACAAAAACACATAAGTTGAATACAAATTTGCGTAATCACATAAGTTTTCGCAAACTTATGCATTTTTGTGAGATCGCTTGTATAAATCCGTGAAAACTTACATAATTTTATGATAGAATTAGATACGGTTGCATTTCCCATAAGTAAATATGGTATAATAAAAAAAGACAGTAACTGTAAGATTATTGATGACAGAAGGTTTGGTGGGGAGAGAGACCCATGCAAGGATTGGACTAAAAGTAAATAAATTGTGAGGCCACATGCTTAGTTCTTGTCCCCTAATTCTGCATTTGGTTGGCTTAATATTGGAATTATTTGTCCACCCAAACTAGTAATCCCTCTTAATCCCACATTTTCAGAGGATTACGTGTCCCCCTTTCTGGGATAAATATTCCACCTTTCTAGATTCCATCCCCTGTTTGGGGTTGGGGGGGGGGGGGGGGGGGGACTACACTAGTTAAGATGACAAAGGTTATGTCTAACACTTTGAATTCTCTCTCTACTTAGCTAAACTTGTAATCACAAACAGGAAACTCTCGCCAACTAGGGAGGTCAAACGGAGACTCTCCGACGCTTAAGTTTGTAAGTTCATAGGTGGAGAAGTCTCAATAAGTGGGTTAGAGTAGTGCAAGTTTGAGTACCTAGCCACTCTAGGCTCCAGCTTTACTATCACCATTGCACTCAATATTTAATCCTTAATCAATACTAAATGATCTTTGTTTCTTCCTCTTGATCTGCTCTGTTAGCAAAGAAGTCTGCATGCTATTGAAAAAAGACTTATTGTCATGTTAATTAAAGATAAGTGCCTAATCATTTTTTGTGGTAGGTAGAGGGAGATAGCTGGAGGGGTTCTTGAGACTCAATCCTGGGCTGGTAAACATGGCTTGACCCAGAGGTCATGTGCTTTTACCATGACACTACCCATGTTGCTCAAATGCCTAATCAGTAATTGCATTGCTATAAGTTTTACATCATGTTCGAATCTAATTTGAATGTGGCTGACTTATTCTCACATCCTACATCCACAAATTATTAAATCCAGTACGTACAGGCTATCAACTAGTTATCCCGTATAATCCTTTACTGAACCCATTTCATTAGATTGTGTTATGTCAAAGAAAACAAGCAATAATAAGCAATATATAGTCCAGTAAGTTTATGTGCATTGTAAGCATAAGTCATTCCTCACACAAAGACTTTTCTATAAATTTCAGAAAGTTCGCAATGATTTCCCAAGATTCTCATCTCTATGCATATAACATTAATGAAAAAAAAAAAAAAAAAAAGAGAAGGAAAAAGCAGGATGTCTTGTCTTTTCTTTCTTGAATATGAACATATAATCAATTCATTTAATTGGGAAAAAGATTTCTTGAGCTGAGTTGCACAAAATACGTAATTGGGATAGAAATACCTCATTGGTTGGCCCTTACTTTCACCAGTTCAAGAGAGCTTGCATTCCAGAATACAAGAAGCTAAATTTTCCCACTTTTTTTTTTTGGAAAAGGTAGAATCTTCTGGTACCGCTTAGAAGCTTCATATAATTTCTCTCAAGTCCATTGGTCGGGCATTCATGTGCTGGCTTAGCCAGATCTGGCATTCATCTATATCACACCATTCTTATCTACCCATCTATCTAGGCTTTATCATCATCGGTCTGTATGAGAGGGGTTAAACCTGATGTAGGATAGTGTTGCACCAACATTTGAGGTGACCATTATAAAGTGAAACAATCGTTGAACACAGAAACCAACTCAATCGTATATATCAAGTATCAAGTTATCAACATGAAATGCCAACTCTTTTGTCCAAAATTGAACCACACCTGCCCTGTGAACTACCAAGAAAATGCCATCAGTCTGACTAATGTCTTCGCGAAAAGCACGCTTAGGTCCATTCTTGAACTACTTTGTAATTTACACGCTGCCTCAGCAATACAACAAAATTAGTTTGGCCAGTGATACTGATCATTAACCAAAAACTGTGTGCATCTTCACTTCAATTGGCATCTTACTTCTGTCGTTGCTGAGCAAAGGACGATAAATCATGACCTAAACTGATCTGAAATCCATTTCAAGATTGAAGATTTCCATCTTAAAATTAGCAATCGCTCCTTCCAACTTCTTTGCCCCAAATGTTGAGATTTCTAAAAATGCAGATAAAAATTATGCAGCCCAGTGATGCGAGTTCAAATGAAATTTACTCTTGGTTATCAAATTGAATTGAAGACAAGACACAATCTCATCTCTAGCTGAACACCCTAACCCATCTAATCCCAGGATTCCATAGTTTACTGCTGCACTGTGTCAAATAGAATCCAATAAATATATCAATTTATAAGACGAGTAATTTTCTACTTTGGTCTTGCTCTCCCTCAGCACTCACATTTTCATACTGATCATGGACAGAACCTTCAATCCCCATCTCACAGTTAAGTAATCTAAGTATCAAATAAATGTTTTTGTCTTCATAGTGAAGGATATGGTTTTCTTTAAAAACAAACACATGGTTTCTTATCCCAATCAAACAGCATCCAATCATTTTCTTAACATTGCTCTCTTTCATGGCGTTTTTGACACGAACCATGCTCTCCCATCTGCCCCTCATCTCATATGACCGAGCCAGTACCAGATAAGGTAGAGATGACTGTGGGTCATACTCTATCAACCACTCCGCTACTCTTTCAGTGAGTTTAAAATCTCCATCAGCACCACAACCGCGAAGAATCGATTCCCAAATTAAAGAACTAGGTTGATGCGGCATTGTCCCTATAATATCCATGGCTTCTTTGAGTTTACCAGCTCGACTCATCATATCCACAATGCAAAGATAATGCTCATCCCTAGGTATGACTCCATATGCCTTCTCCATTGATGAAAACACACGCAACCCTTCATCCACAAGACCCCCATAGTTGCAAGCCAAAAGAACCCCAGTTAGTGTTATTCGATCTGGTGGTGGACCCCTTTTAAGTAGTGCCTTAAAAAGCTCTAAGGTTTCAGCTTCTCTCCCATTTTGAGCTAAGCCTAAAATTATGGTGTTCCAAGTTATCAAATCTTTTAGATTGATTTGAGCAAAAATTTTCATGGAAGTGTCAATTAATCCAAATTTGGCATACATTTCCACAAGTGAACTCGCAACCACTGCATCAGATTCCATACCTAATTTAACAACCAAAGAATGAAGTTGACTCCCCTGCTCTGCAGGGAGGAGGGAAGAAGCAGAGCTCAGAACACTACTGATAGTGAATTCAGTTGGCCTGAGGCTGTCTCTCAATGTAAGAACAAAAAATCGCAAAGCATCCTCTCCAAAACCGCCATGCCTTGCATAGCTCGAAATCATGGAATTGCAAACAACAGAATCCCATAAATTGATTTCTTCAAAGAGCTGAATTGAGTCCTCCAATCTGTTGCATTTGGAAAACAGGTCAATAGCAGCACTTGAAACAATGGAGTTAGAAAGAAACCCCACCTTGATGCAGAAAGCAAAAATTTGCTTACCCTTTTCCAGATCACGCAAGGTATTACAGACAGTAATCACTGTCGATATTGTAAACTCATCAGGTGCATATCCAACAGATACCATCAAACAAAAGTGCTTTAGTGCAAATTCGCCATGTCCCGATTTGTAACAGCCCGAAATCAAGGAGTTCCAAGTGATAACATCTACCTCCTCCATGGTGAGGAACACACCAAAGGCATAATCCACAACCCCAAGTGTCCCATACATGTCAATCAATGAATTTCCAACCACATTTGATAAATTCACACCACTCCTTATCATGATACCATGAATTTGCTTACCACGATAGGCACTTGTCACATATGACACTAGAATCGAGAACGTGAACTCATTTGGCCTCATACCATCATTTTGCATTCCCTTAAAAAGTTCTAATGCATTATCAAAGTACCCATTCGAAGCATAACCCGAAATCAATGAATTCCAACTTACAACATCTCGTTCGGGCATTTTATCAAACATATTACGTGCACCTTCGAGATTACAAGATTTCACCAACACACGCAGACAAATATTCCAAGAAATGATATTCTTGTTGGCAATGTCATCAAATGCTTGCAAAGCATCACTGAGCGTGCCGACTTTAGAATACATATCGATACAGCGATTACCCAGAAAAGTATGGCGATTGAAACCGACTTTTATCAAGTGGGCATGGATGAATTTGGAAAAATCTGAGGATTTCAAAGAGAGACAGTGGTCTATGAGGTTAGAGTAAAAGGAGAGTGACTTTGTGTGGAGTCCATGAGCTTTGCTCAGAAATGGGTACATGCAAATGCTATAATACCATGAAAGACAAAAGCTTTTTGCTATCACAAAGGCTTCGAGTAAGGCAAATACACTAGTATAATGAACGAAGAATCACATTTGGTTTTGCTCCTTTTCTTCTTCTTCAATCTCTGCCATGATTGCTTCACTCTTTTGCAGCAATTTTGGAGTTATGGTTTAGAAAGACATCTGTGACACCTTGAACAATAAATTCCCTCTAGCGCAAGTAAAGTACAGGAGAAAAGTTCGAGTACAAACGGAAATACATATCAGTTTAAAAAAAAAAAAAAAAAATAATGCTATTTCTTTAAAATAGCAGGATTAGTTGGTTATTTTTCTAATTACACCATTTTCTAAATTTTAAAATTATCATTTTATCTCACTACACCTTTCATAATTTCAAATATAACATCCTACACCTAATATCTCATCTTCTTTTTATACCCATTAACATTTCAAACTCTAAGGCCCTTGTTTTGAGTGATAGAGAAGGGGATTGGATTAGTAGTCAAGTAGAGTCCATAAGCATCATATTTGTTTCGAGAAATGACCATGGGCAAATTATCCATAAAAGCAACACTCATGCAAGGTCGTTTAGTAAAATTTATTTGTGATTTACGCTCCGTTTATTTGAGTGAAAAATATTTTTTAACGGGAGAAATATTTTTCAATGAAAATATATTTTTTATATTTGGTGTTGGTGATGGTAGGACGAAGGTGAAGGTGAAGGTGAAAGTGAAGGTGGAAGTGGAAGTGGTGACATGGTATTTGGGAGGAAAATATTTTTTAATGGGAAATATTTTTCAATGAAAATATTTTCAATATTTGGTGGTGGTGATAGTAGGACGAATGTAGAGGTGAAGATGGAGATGGTAGCATGGTAGTGGAGTGGTGGTGGCAGTGATAATGACACTAATGGTGACAATAGTGTGGTGATGGAGGTAAAATTGACGGTGGTGAATTGTTTTCATAGAAGTGTATGAGATTGTATGAGATTGGGAAGTTTTATTGCTCGAATAACTTGCCATGCCGTGTAAGAAAAGTCTCTTTATGAGATTGTATGAGATTGGGAAGATTTTTTTTTCAAAAATGATTGAGGCCTCGAATTTGAGGCTCGAATTTGCCTCGAAACCCAAAACGACTCATTTTTTTTTTTCCTTTTTCTTCATTTTCTTTCTTTTTTTCTTCTTCTTCGTTTTGGGAAGAGAGAGAACCAGAGGCGAAACAGAGGCGAGAGAGAGAACCAGAAGCGAGAGAGAGTCGTCACAGCTCGTAGGCCGATCGTCGCATTGCAACCCCGCCTTCGCCTCCAGCCCGATTTTGTTGGCCCCTCCAGTTCTTCTTCTCCTTCTTCTTCTTCTTCTTCTTCTTCTTCTTCCTCATTCTCTTCTTCTTCTTCCTCCTTCTCAAATTCGAGCCAAATTTGGCTCGAAACCCTTTCGGGCTCTGTAGCAGAGCTGCAAATAAAAATCTTATTCTTAAGCCTAATTTAGGAATTTGGCTAAAAGTTAGTTAATTTATTTTGGGTTATAACATTTTTCTATTTTTTTATACTTTTTAAAAAAAAAATCAAACAATTACCTTTTTATCCATTTCTTAAAACAATCCTTAACCTTGTTTTTTACCTCTTGTTTGGCAAATTAATATTTTAGCCTTAAAATTAAAAAATTATTAAAAAAATTAAAAAGCTGACAATCTGTACAAAAAAGTCAAAGATTCTATTTTCTTTATACTTTTTGCACATTTTTTCATAAAATATCAAAAATCATTCCAAATCTACTAATTTTTTTACCTCATATTATAATTAAAAAATTTTTAAAAAATATTAAAATAACCTATTCTCAAACATATTCAGCCAATGAATTCGGTCCTTCCAATTATTTAAATTTGTGATATTCACAAAATTCAATTATAAATAACTTTTAACAATTTAATAAATGTTTGAATTTAAACCTTATAAAAAAGTTTATATATAAATATTTTTAATTATAGTTTATTGTATAACTAAGCCAATTTTGGTATCAAGATTAAAAGTCATTTTTTTGACTTTTTAACTTTTTTTTGGTCACATTATCTCTCTACTGTTTTGCACATTTAAAAAAAAAAAAAAGTCAAAAAAATTAAAAATTTGACTATAACTGTGGAGAAGTGATTTGGAAATACTCCAATATCCAGTCAGACGTCCTTGATCCTCTGATTGCTACCTGAAGAATGAATGAACGCTCCGGTCGGGGGTGTCGGAATTAGCACTCTGACGGACAAGTTAGTATGCTCTCAAGTTTACTTCTCTCTCAAGTTATTTCTTGTTTTTTCTATTCTCACATACCTCTCTTTGGTTGATGTTCCCCTTTTTATATTACCCTTTGGGTCCAAGGGTCGGGCCCACTCTTAATCTCGCACTTGATTGGTTGCTCGACCTTCCAGTTATGTGCTGGTTCCTGTTCGGCTCTTCATATGGCCAATTTGTATATTCGACTTCAAGAGCCCTTAGATTATAGTTGAATTGACTTTGGCCAGATGTCTTCAAATATCCTGGCCTTCCTCAATATATAATTATTCGGCCCCCACAATTGCCCCCTAAACATCCGACTAACGCCAATTAGTCGGTATGTTTGGTTTTAATATATGGAAAGTCAAAAATACGGCGCTTGCACTCCTTCCAATATCGAAGCATCAGAACAACCAAGGTTTAGAAATCATTACAATTTCTCGCTCCTTCGTACGCATTATTCATTTAATGCGACATGAAACCTTGTTGTCCCTTCAAATATTTTTTGAATTTGCAAAGCTCTTTCAAATTCACGACCTCTGCAATTTCACGACCTCTGTAACTTCCATCTGCTCCCCATTGTCCTTTTCTCTCTACCCTGTAAGTTCTTCTCTTCTTTGCATTTCTTCCTCATTCCAACTTCCATTTTCTTGTTTGTTTTTTACTTTAGCGTATTTTTCATTTTGATTCGAATGGCGAAACATTTAAAAGCTCTTCTTTTCGCGAACTGAGTTTCCGCTTTTCGATGCCACTTTTCTATTCCAGATGACATCTATCTATTACTTGTGGTAGATAGCATACTCGACATGGAGAGGACCGATAAGAGTACGATTATCTTTCCTCTCTTGTCAATCGCTGATGGCGGAGTCCGTTTCCCCCTTCATCCATTTTTGAGAGCCGTCCTCCGTTACTGGGGTCTACTCCCTTCACAACCTAACGTAAACTTTTACCGAATCATAATGGGAATAGTAGAATTAAATCGTCGACTTAAGATTAATCTAGGAATCCCTGTTATTCGGCATTGTTATGCCTTGGCAAAATCATCTGGTCGGCATGGATGCAACTTTCTCAGGGCCAAGGACACTGATCACCATCTAGTGACTATGCTTGCCAGCTCTAGTAAGCGTGTTGACAACGTCATGGTCGTTGTTCGAGGCAGTTGGGAATTCGCGAAGGCGAAAGCGAGATTGCCTAGATCTTGTGCGTAGACAAAAAGGCGAACCAGGTGGTCGTATAGTCCCATTGCTATGCGCGTTTGTTATATGTTTATTCGGCTTAGATTCTATGTACTTACCATTTTATTTGTGCAGGTAACGATTTGAAAAAAGTACTTATCTCGACTGATGACGCTGTGCTTAAACAAATCAAAACTGCACTCCAATTCTTCGGCCATCCAAACCTCCAAAAGCAAGGGAGGCCCGCCCACGTCCTATTGCGATACGAGCCAACGTACGCTACTTTTTTGGCCGCAGATCACATTCCGATTCCAAAGGGCGAACAACAGCTTACGGCACTCATTTTCCCGAATTTCAAGAAGCTTAGGGAGATTGGTCTTGAAGTTTCGGATTCAGAGTAGGTCGCCGAACAAGTCGTTGAACAACTGAATCAGTCCAACTTGGATAGATCTGATAGTCTAGGGGAAGAGGTTAACGCGACTTTTAATTTGGCCTTTGAGGAAGCTGGTTTCAACCTTTCATGCACTTCAGGCTGAGTTGACGTATCGTTAGAAAATGATATTTTCACCGACTTAAGAGACTTTCTTGGCACAGATCCTAAGAACATGGCTGGGGAGTCGCTCGCGCAGATGGCCAGAAGAAAAAACCCTGAGAAGATGGCAGCCCGAAGGAGGGCCGAAGCTGCCAGGTCTGAACCCCCACCACCTGCTCCTGTTGGGGTTGAGTCTTTTCCTCCTGCTCTTGTTAAGGAAACGGAGCAAATTGTTATGGCCAAAACAGAGCAAATTTTCATTGATCAATCGGACAATCTGGTGGCCAAACAAAGGGGGGAGAAACACCCCACCGAGCACGAAGCCAACTCTTTTGAAAACCTAATTGATAGCAGCCGCGCATAAAAGAGTCGCAGGACTTGGCTGCGCCATTTATCATACACCTAGAATAAAGAACGTACCAGTTGCATCTGATGCTTCGGCTTTGAAGGACGTTGTCGTGACCTTAAGCGTGGCCTCATCGATTTCCCTGCTGATTGACACAGCAGCGTTCCGTGCAGAGCCCGATGTGGTGTCGATAGTATTAGCCGCCCAATCGACGATATTGGTATGTAACTTAAAAATATATTCCGTTCCTTTTTATGCCAGCTATCTTATTAATCTTTTGTTTATAAGCGACGGGCAATATCGCAGAAATCGACCACCGTCATTATGACGTTATCGAGCAAATCAGCTTGCTCAAAATCGAAGTCGAAACTGAAAAGGGCAAGGCTAAAGAGGCCTTTCTTAGAGCTGAATCCAAGGCAAGCAAAGCGGTGGAAGAGTGAGCAAGGGCCAATGCTAAAGAAGAGAAGGCCAAATGCTTCGATCAACTCAGGTTGGCTAGCAAAGAAAGGGTGAACGCGAGTGATGATGCGCTCAAGTTGGCCAAGGAGGTGATTGCCAAACTGGAGGTCGATTTGGAAGAATCGAAGAGGGCAAAAGAAATCGTCGACTCCGAGATCTCCAATGCGTTCCAAGCCGAAGAAAATGCTGGCTTAGAAAAATACGTGGAGGAAGTACCCAAGTTCGAAAATCGAGGCTTTAAACACGATTGCCTCAAAGCCCTGGCTGCCACTAATGTGACATTGGAGCAGCCAATTCCATACGAGCAGCTAGAGGTTGAGCCGCTGAAGTCTGACCTTGAAGAATGAGTAATGTCAATGTAATTTTGCTTTTTGTTTGGTATTTTCTGTACGTAGTTTTTGTAGATTTTTACTTATTTATTTTGTTTAGAAGTTAAATATAGGGAAATTTTCATGTGTAAAATAATGACTGTTTGTACTCAATTTATTAATGAAAATC